AGGTTGACAGAGGAAATGGTTTCTTTTACACAGGAGTCAACCGAGGCACGGGGCAGTGGAGTGGCCGGCAGAAGTCCCCTCAGAAGGATGTCGCCGCACCGGCCTGCCCCGGCAGCCGTGTCCTCAGCCGGGGTCTTCCACGCTGAGGCAGCCAAGGTTTTTGAAATTAGACATGTCTGTGGGCACCTGCCGGGGCCACCCACCACCCCAGCCCAACCCGGAACTTCCTGCCGCAGCTCCGGGGAGGTGTACAGTGACGAAGAAAAGCCTTCTTGGAAAAGCCTTAATAAGCATTTGGGCCAGTGGAGACGGTGCTGGGGGTGGGGGTGGGCAGCCTCCGTGAGCCCCTGGGAGTGGGAGGGGAAGGCGCAGGAGGGGAAGTCGTGCTTGCTGGAAAGTTCTGGACTCCATGTTTATGAGAAGGGCCGAGTCAGAACCTGGAAGAGGTGGGGGCCACGCCTCTTGCCAGATTTCAGAAGGACCTCGGTGCAGGTGAGGCGGAGGGCTGGCTCTGACCGGGTCCAGGTGGCAGGTTCTAGGGTTTCTAATGCCAGAGCGGTTCACAGAGGAAAGCGGTGCCCTGGGAGGGAGGTCAGGAGCCCCGTATCACAGGAGGTGTGTAAGGAGAGCCCTCCAGCTGCCTGTTGGCATTGTTGCATGGGCTAACAGGGCGGAAGAGATGACCTTAAAGGTTGCGAGCTACCCGGCCCTGAGTCACAGGCAAGCCCCATCTGTTGCACCTGGCAGTTCCTCAGAGTGTGCACAGGTTAAAGGTCGGCGCCGAGGCTCCTGTGGGTAATTGGTCCGTCCCTCCGGGTGTGGACCCAGGTCCCCTTTTCCAGCTTCACCATCTGCCAGGCTCCAGCTTGATGGCCTAGACCCCTGGACAGGGTCCCTGCAGTCCCTGGCTTTACCTTGGCCATTAAAGGGTCCAGAGAAGCTGCTGCTGCAGGATCCCCAGGCCCCCTGAGGGGCCCCCTTTAGACCCTGACTTGTGGACTCTGACAAGCGAGACAGCCCTGAGGCTCCAAAGGTCTGCCTCAGCTCCGCCAGCCGTGACTGTGGCTAGCGGCGAGAGGACAGGCCTGTGTGAAGTGCTGTCACTGCGTGGGACAGATGGGCCGTAAGTCAGCCTCTGGGGGCTCCTGAGCGCCACTTTAGGGGCCAGTGCTGGGCTGGTGAGAGCAGGGGGCTGGAGGTGGCAGACTGCCCTCTCTGAGGTAGCCTTGTGGAATCTTATCGGAGTTCATGGGAAGCGAGCACCTGGCGGGGCTCAGTGGACACATGCAGGGTGTGCCGTGGTGTGTAAGGCTCGGTACGTGTGTAAGGGCACACAAAGCTCAGCCAGGCTGACTGGAGTTAGCCTCCCCACCCCACCCACCCTGCAGGGCCAGGGTCATTGTGGGTAAGAGGGCCTGCTGGACAGGGAGCTGGGAAGGGGCCGGTGCCTGGGTGGTCAGAGCACTGGCTCTGCAGTCCTTAGTTCTGGAGTGGGCATGGCCTATCTTATCTCCCTGCGGTGCCTCCAATCCGTACCTGTGGGGACTGGGAGCTGTCTGGGATGGCCAGTGCCCTCGGGAGGGGCTTCCTGGGTCCAGCAACTCCTGGCACACAGCCATTCACATGCCAGCCCTGGCCTGGGGAGCGGGCGTTCCCATCCCAGGGGCATCCCAACCCGGGAGGTCTGGCACTTCTCTTCCTGGGCTCCCCCCAGCGGGGGGCACTTCCAGCTGAGGCCGAGGATCGAAACCCAGGGCCAACAAAGCGTGGATGACGCTCCTTCCCAGTCAACGGCATTTCCTGAGCACCTACTGTGAGTCAGGCAATGCTGGGTGTGGGGAGCAGGCGCACAAAGACCCCGGGGCTCCTGGTTTGTGGTCTGCTTTGGAGGACCAGCCCCAAACCCAGAAACCCAATCAGTCAGCAAAAGACCCCATGGTTCGGTCTGGAGGGGAAGAGTGAGGGGGCAGAGCAGAGGGCCCTTTCAAGACCAATCCTGTGTCGAAAACGAGTGTTTTTAGTAACAGATTGTCTTTTGGATGCAAGGGGGGAAGACATCTTTTTGTGTGTGGTAATGTGGATTTTGATACAGGTAGTGGGACACATAGGTCCCGAGAGATATCTGGTGCTGGGTGGAATGAGGTCCATTTCTTCAGATTCACCGTTATCCAAACCTCAAGCAGATGACAGCTCACGCTTACATGGGGACCCAGCTTCCCACTCTACCCCAGAGATGGACAATGTAGGCGGTCACACTTCCTATTTTCCACGGGTCAGCAAAGAGTTAAACAGTGTTGGTGGACTGAGACTGAAGGGGGTGGAGCTGGGTGGGTACTGGGATGGCCTTTGAATGGAGGGGATGCAGGAAGGAGGCCACCAAGCAGTGTGCCTGAGTGCAGGGACAGTGGGAGTTGCCGGGGGTGGGGTGGGGTGGGGGGCACATGGTCGCTCCCCAAGTTGGGCAGAACAGGAGCAGCAGGGGGTGAGCTAGAGCCCAGATGAGGGGGAGGGGCCTCCAGAGGGTTCTGAGAACAGAGTCCCTCCTGGTTCTGTCCCACCCACGATCACACCTAGTGCACACGCACGCACCCATTCACACACTCATCTTTGCGTACATGCTCACGCTTGCACTCACCATGCAGACGCACACCCATGCTCACACCCACGTGCACACACACATTCTCACAATCACACATGCTGACACACATCTGCACTCACACCCATGCACACAAACTCATACACATCACAGGCCGCTTTAGGAGATTCCTGGACCGTCTCCAGCCCCAGCCCCCTAGTAAGGGAACCCTACTAGACAAGTGTGGAAACAGAAGCTTGCCCAGGGGAAGGGACTTGCTCAAGGGCAGCACCCAGACACAGAGGGCCTGACCTTGGGGCATCAAGAGACGTTGCCTTCTGGACCCTGACACCCAAAACCAGGAGAGGCACCAGGGGAGGCCCGGCTTCTCTCCCTGCCGTCTCCAAGGATCCCAAGACCAGGGTCCCAGCCAGAGGGTGCTCGTGCCTAAGAGGGCCCAGGTTCCTGTGGGGCCCGGGCAAGTGATCACCACTGCTAGGGGATTGGGAGACTCCTTGCAGACCCCCAGGGAGAGGCGGCACTTGCCACTCTGGGGACCCCTGGGAGTTTTCTGGAAAGGCCTTCTGAGCAAAGCAAAAGATAACAGACCCATTGCATTGACTAGACTCCCTCTGGGAGAGCGTGGAACTGCCCCATAGGTCTTCAAAGGCTGTCCATCTTTCTGGGAGCGGACCGCCATGTCTTTCTTCCAATGAGCGTGGGGTGGATTCAACCCGACCTTTCTATTGGCGACCTGGTGCTTAACACACTGCACCACCAGGGAGCCTCCTCTGGACCAAACCACACCAGGGTCCCAGCCATCGAGTCCACGCTGACAGGGTAAACTGCCCCTGTGGGTTTCAGAGACTGTAACACTATGGGGGTAGAAAGCCTCTGCTTTCTCCCACGGAGCTGGCTGGTGGCTTCAAACCGCTGACCAGTGCGTAGCCAGTTGGCAGCCCAGTGCGTAGCCCATTATTCCAGGGCGCTCCTTCTGAACAGAAGGGCCGTCGTATGCCAGGGTGTGGAGATGATAGCGCCGGAGAAAGGGTATTGTTTCCGGGAGGCTGTTGGCTGCAGGCAGCCGGGTGGCACTGTAGGTCTCAGGGTCAGTGGTTTAAGGCCCCCAGCTCCTCGCTGAGGGAGAAAGGTGAGGCGGTCTGCTCCGACACAGGTGGACGTCATCGAAAACCCTCCTGGTAGAGCAGAATGGGCTCGGGGCAGAGGTGTGTCTGGGAGCGTGGCCTGCTATGTGTACACTCGGCAGTGCCCTTGTCATTGAGGGAGCGAGCATCCCAATAGAGTGGGGTGTGTGGGGTGGGGTGAGGAGGAAGCTTGCATGCAGCAGGTGATGGGAAGAGAAGGGACCCCAGCATTCATGAAATACCTCTGGGTTCCTGCCCGTTCCCTCCTTTATCGATGCTACTCGCCAAGAGGCACCTCCCCAGAAAGGCCTGGCAAATACCCCTGGAACACCAGCCACTGGCAAGTGCTGCGGACCACAGCTCTCCTCTGACAAGCGCGCATGCACGGGGTCACCACGGACCAAAGGTGACTCAACGCAACCGTCCCTGGAACCTGCCTGCCCCATAGCCACTCTCATCTCAGACCGAGAAACCGAGGCTCTGAGCCTCCAGGGCTGGCCCCGGTTGGTCCACTGCTCACTGCCTCACCCTTCTCCTTGCCCACAGGGGGTCCTGGAAGGGCCTGGACCCGGGGTGGGTCTGGAGCTCCAGGACCCAGAATGCAATGGCTGGGGGTGGGGGGCAGCATGTGGCTCCCCCCTGGCCATACAGGGATAACAGACAAGTGATTGTTGCCAGAGCTGAACAGGCCCAGGTGAGGGAGGCCGCGTCCCACTTCCGCTCACTAATCTCAGTACCTGAGCTGATCAGAGGCATCCACTGCCTCCTTGTCTGAAGCCTGCCCTCCAGAGGAGGGTGTGGGGCGAGAAGACCATCCCCAGAGCCCTCTGACCTCCAACCTCCTCCACTTCCCCTCTTGAAGGCCTCCTGGGCATGTGACCTGAGGGGTCGGGGAGAGACTGCAGAGGTTCATGGTGGTGACAGGGCAGCGATGGGCCCCCCGCTTCACAGATGGGGAAGCAGATGGGCGGAGAGCACTGAAGAATTGTTGCCGGAACTCATAGCGACCCTGTGTGCCACGGGATGGGCGTGGTCCTGCACCACCCGCACAGTGGTCAAGTTTGAGCTCATCCGTGCAGCCACTGTGTTGACTTAGCTCCTCGAGAGCCTTCCTCTCTCTCGCTGTCCCTCCGCTTCACCAAGCGCGACGTCCTCCTCAGGGACTGCCTCTCTCCTGACAACATGTCCAAAGTATGTGAGATAGAGTCTCACCATCCTGGCCTCTAAGGAGCACTCTGGCCCCACTTCCTCCAGACCAAGACAGATCCCCCGCCCCCACCCCATCTCAGTTCATGCTTAGCTCACACTCCATCATCTGGTTCCCAAAACTCAGATTGTGCAGCGGTTGCATCATCGCCAACCAGGGCCCCAGTACCCTCGCAGAGGCACCCCAAACCTCCCCTCTCCTTAGCCCAGTGGGTCGAAAGACCCTTTCACGGGGGTTGCCCGATTCATCACAGGACTAAAATGACAGCGATGAAGTAGCAACGAAAATAATTTTATGGTTGGGGGGTCACCACCAGATGAGAAACTACATTAAAGGGGTGCAGCATTAGGAAGGTTGAGGACCACTGCTCTAGCTTAACCGGCTGTCCCTCATCTCACCTGCCCCGCACTCGATCCCCTGGACCCAAATCGTCTAACCCTATCATCACTCATATTGGTGCTGGATCAGGGATCGGGAAGCGCCCCAACCCTACTCTACCTGCTGCATCCCACCAGGGCCACCACACTCTTCCCTACGCCGCTCCACTCTGGTGTCTCTCCCCTCCAAGGCGGCCCAAGCCTCTCCAAGACAGACCTGTTGGTCCTGTTGGCAGCCCCTGGGTCTTTCAATATATGTGCTTCGCAGCACCCCCATTTGAACGCATCGACTCCTCTCTGGTCTTCTTAAATCGATGCCCACCTTTCAAGTGCATGGGGGCGGGGTGGGGGATTGAAAATGCCATGGCTTGGGTCAGGGATTAGAACCCTGCTACTCAGTGTCTCATCTCAGTGGTTCTGTGTTGGGTTGCTAACCACAAGGTCAGCAGTTTGAAACCACTAGCCTTCTGACGGAGAAAGACAAGGTTTTCGGCTCCCGTAAAGAGTTACAGTCTTGGGAATCCACACGGGCAGGTTTACGCTGTCCTATCAGGGCCTTATGACCTGGAGTCAGCTTGACTCCATAGCTGCTGGTTGGATTTTATTCAGTGTCTACCTGCTGTGCACCTATTGGGGACCAGGAATCAGGCTGTTTCCCTCCCAGGCAACATTCACTCAGGGTTGGGGATGGGGGTGGTGGGGGCGTATCCTCGAGGGGTGAGGTGAGGCTTGTGTGTGGCTGAGCAGGTGGCTAGTCACCTCACTGGGCTGGGAGGGCGAATTCACAGTTCCCTGGGCACACTGAGCAGCCTGGAGCAGATAGATGCAGGCCAGTTTCATTAGGGGCCCAGCCATGGCTGACTCCCCTGGTGAGACCAAGAAGCTTGGAATATGGAGATGTTGGGGGGGTGGGGGAGGTGAGATGGAAGTTGGGAGAGGACCAGAGAGCAGCAGGCAGGGTCCCAGAGTCCTCCTGACCCTGTAGCCACCACCCTTGTCTGTCCATCCCTCAACCCTGCAGTCCCTCCCCCAGGTAAGACCCAAGGGGTTTCTAAAGACCTAAAAACACTGCGGGGCAGTGGAGGAAGTACCCCAGTGAGGGCGGCAGGGTGCACCCTGCTGAAGTCGTCCTGTGGCTCTCTAATGTGACCATTTCCAGCAGACCCAAATGCAAGATCTCTGCCTTCTTAGTGATAGGTACCATGCACACAGGAGTCCTGCAGGGGCCACACAAATGCACATATGTTGGGGCAGCTAACCAAGTGGCTGGAGGGTCAAGTTCACCCTGCAGGTGCCTCAGAAGAAAGGCCTGGTGACCCACTTCTACAAAATCAGCCACTGGTAACCCAGTGGTGTGAGTTCTCTTCTGATACACGCAGGGTCACCAAGAGGCATAACTAAGACGGCAACAACTAGGCCGTTTTTTTCCTCCCCTGCAGATATTTAGGGAGTGCCAGCAGGCACGAGGGACTCCTGGTGTAGGGGTTATGCATTGGGCTAGGATTTGTAACGGCTTTGCTCCTCCGGAGAGAGGCTTTCTACCCCCGTGTCTGGGAAACTCACAGGGGCAGTTCCACCCTGTCCTGTCGGGTCTTCATGAGTCCGCATTGACCTGGTGGCAGGGAGTGTTGTTTCCTTTTCCTGGGAGCGGGTGTGAAGGGGAGCGTGTGTTAGCAGGGGAGAGGGGAAGCTGGTTAGGCAGGTCAGGCTGACATCGGAGGGGCAGAATAGTTCATGTGTGCGCCAGGGACAATTTCCGTTACAAACGGCAGAAGAAAAAATACTCAAAGAAGAGTAATATTTTATGATGCCTGAGAATGCTTTCAAATTCAAATGTTAGTGTCCATAAATAAAGTTGTATTGGGACACAGGCACACTCAGTCCTTTCTATATTGTCTAGGGTTGATCATCAGCCAGAAAGGCAGAGTTGCAACAGAGACCTATGGCCTGCAGAGCCTAACATATTTACTCTCTGACTCACGACCAGAAACAAAAGCTTGGTGCCCCCTGCCTTGAAGGAGCTTCCAGAGAGAGGTGCACCAGTGGGGGAGGCTGGAGACGAGGGCAGCATCTGGTCACCAGGACTTTCTTGTGCCCTGCTTGGGCACTGAAGGTAAACTGAAGGCAAGTGGGGGCCACGGAAGTTTCAGGCAGTTGAACGCAGGAGAAGGGCCGCTCTGGCTGCTTGGTAAGGATGGATGAGGTTAGGCACTTGGAGCAGGGAGACCAACCTGGGAAATGGTGGTGGAGAGCAGGGTGGTGGCCCAGGAGCAGGGCAGGAGGCTCTCCAGGTGGGTAGCAGCTGACAGGGCCTCCTCAGGTGTCCCTGGGGCTGTCGGCCCACCATCTCGAGGTGGTTGTACACGGGCGCTTTGGGCATGTGCATGAATGGCAGCCGGGAAGGATAGGAATCAGGAAGGCGCTCTCAGGGCCACACCCCACGTGGACCTCTGTGGCCACTGCGGCAGGCCGGGCACCATGCATAAGTCACAAAACCAGCGCAGGCCAGAGCCAGGGTCACAGATGTCTGCAGGCATCTCGCGGCCTCTCTGCACACGGTCACAGACGCGTGTACTGCACCACGGTGCAGGCGCCTCCGTCGGGTCCACGGGATCACACGGTACCTAGATCTGCACGCTCATGCACACGCAGACTCGAGCACACGGCCAGCCACATGGACCTGGACCCCCAGATCCGCGCGCACGCGCGCGCGCGCGGACACACACACACAC